ATTAATGAAAGCCATACGGATAGCACAAGTAGAGGCGAAAGACTGGCGTAAGGAACTGTCAAAATTCCTTATCGCATACCGCTCTACTCCTCAGGCAACTACAGGGGCTACGCCCTATTACTTAATGTTCGGTCGCGAGATGAGATCGAAATTACCCGAGTTGCGTCGTGAGGGTACTACTATAAATGAGGAAATCCGCGATCGTGACTGGTCAAGAAAACTAGTGGGGAAAACATATGCAGATGCAAAGCGCCAGGCAACCAGCAGTTCTGTACAAATAGGTGACAAAGTGCTGTTGAAAAATACAAAAACCAATAAATTGTCACCTAACTTCATTCCTGATCCCTGTGAAGTTCTCGATAAGAAAGGGGGAGAAGTAACTATTCGTAATAAGGATGGAGTTGAATATAAGCGTAATGTCACATTCGTGAAGAAGTATAATGAAAAGCACGTTGAGGATGAAACAACACCAACTAAACAACCATCTCCGAGACCAAAACATGATGTTAGAATGCCAAAACGATATGACTTTGTTGTTTCGAAGGGATAATTAACTCTTGACATTATGATATAATTCCAGTGTTTTCAGAGTTAAATTGTGGGAAATGTTATTCCATTTTCAGATTGAACAATGTTAGTGTTATATCGTGTTTCTCGTTTAAAACATTCAAAATTTGTTAACAGTGTTAAGTTAATGACATTAAGGACACTAGCGTAGCATTATTTTATGGTGATACTGCCTATATCCATATTTTCGGTTGATATACATGTAATTTGAAAAGAGGAGGGATGTAGTATTCTGTACTGTAGAGGTCGTGACCTTTGCTGACCTTTGCCCCCTCTACCCATGATGCATTGTACCTTTAGAGTGAGCAACCAGTAATGGCTGCCCACTGAATAAATAGTTGAAGTTCATCTGTGTGTATCATTCACATCTCTAACCATCCATCGGTATATTATAGTAAGCCTTGTGCAAAGAAAGATACAGTCCGGAATAAAATATCCTCAGACGAAATCGCCGCCGATTTCCTCAGCGGTTGGACTGGCGCATGCGCAATACGGTATGCCAGTTCTCTTGCGAGATGTCGTTAAAACTCGGATTTTTCCGGCAAATTTCGGCATTTGTACTAGTGAAATGTTGAAAATCACAGAAAAATACAATGAAACTTTGGCGAATCAAAAAAATACTTGGCGTGCATATGTATGGCATTGAGATATACATTTGCACCAATTTGGAAAAAAATTGGACAGAGCATATCAAAGTTATAAGAGGTGAAAGACGGACGGATGGACGGACAGAACCCAATCTATAAGCCTTCGGCAGACTTCGTCTGCGAAGGCTAAAAATACGAAATAAGCTTAGTCTATGCAACGCTGTATAATAATAATTGCGTATCCCTATTGGGATTTTGACTAAAATGCAATACAGATGTGGATAAAAACAAACAATTAAAATGAGAATAAAAATACACACAATCAAACAAGCAAATAAAAGTAGAAAAAAAAATGAATGGTAAAGTAATTTGGAATCTTTTCCATATTTGTGTTGGTGAATGTTTGGTTTACTAATGCATGTACATGACCTTATCTTGAGTTAGCTGACTATATTGTTTTCAGTTTTACCTCTCTTGTTTTGAAACAGTTTTCTTTGTATTTCTATTATTGTTTTTGCATCTTTATTATTTAAAAAATATATGTATGTGTTAATGTGTTTATTGAACATTGAAGTCTATTCCCTACTTGAATTCGGATTGGTCACAAGAGATCCTGGCACCACAATACGTACGAGAGAACCCGGCACCAAACGTGGTGTGGATTTACTATTGTTCAAGGTGTCAGCGTTTGAACCTGCCGACTTGGTAATGTGTAGCATTCATAACTGGCGTAGATCGTCTCAGGCGTCGGTATTTGAAACTGCAATTTTGGTAATGCCCCGAGTACAGTTCTGAAAAGTCGCATAGACCGAGGATTCGACACCCGCCTACGAATTTATGGCGTTCTGCAGTTTTCATAATTTTAACCAGCTAAAACATCTATCTAGCGACCACAAATACCTTTTTTTGGCCAAAAAATGAACCTACAGTACTGGAACTAGTTTTACGCCAAGAACAAGATGGCGGCGTATGTTTTCGGTTGACATTGGAAATTGTCGATTTTATCGACCCTGGTGGGAAATCTTATGTAATTTTGCATCCAGTTAAGGTATTTTGAATAGTTAGACGTATCGACCCGTTTATTTTTAACTGCAAAGCTGAATGCTTCTTAAATCGCCCAATACATTAGTGGTGGTGCGAGTTGGCATTGGTGCGAGTTGACCTGTGAGATTCGAGGAGAGCGTACTGTATGAGTGCATACTTTGAAGTATCTTCGTAATAACCTTATTATTATACATCTTTTCCTTCCAAAGATACATGGGAATGCCAAAATCCAACAAGTTTAAAACAGAATCAGCGAACTTCTTTGTACGAGTCCGGTCAAACCCTGGTGGCACCCATGTTTGTTTTTATTATTAGAGGATGCTTACGTGCGTAATCATTCCATATTTGGAATTTGCATTTCCTAATATGGTAGGATGAAAATACCCTGTAAAATACGGCAACATTACGGCATGCTGTAACTTGCGGCGTTACAGTAACAGGTGTATAATAATTTATATTAGCGGGAATTAATTTTCACTTAAAAGACTTTCGGCGTTTTGTATGGGATTTATTTTCACTAATTTTTGACAAGTTAAATGTGAAATATAGGAAGAAAATTATAATCGCTGCATTTTATTTTCACCGAGTCATTCCTTCAAACTAGAATTAATTTCAAGCAAACATAGTTGAACTTTGGCAACCTTGCCCTATGTTGTATAATATTTCCTTTATGATAGTTTGTTTCAATATAAATGTGCATTGTCATAATTAATTTTGAATACAAGTTTTAGGATTGAAACAGCTGTGGAAACTTCAAACACTGAAATCTTTGTTTTTTAAGTACATTAGTATTATGAAAGCTCTATAGCTGAAACAAATTTCTGTGAATTTTGATTAACAAACTTGTATCCTTCAACAAATATTGTTAAAAACTGTCAAACACAGAATATTTTTAAGTACATTTTCCTTTCAAAATGTGGATGCAACTTTTTGCCCTTCATGTATTTCCGCATTGTTTTTGTTTGGATATCTTTGGACTACCGGTAAACAGATTTTCTATTTGCTTCAGAACTTTATCGAAAGTTTGGCAGTCAATTTGCTTATATCGATTAACTGAAATCTTTATTGGTGTTTTGTTTTAAATTTTATTGGTAGGTTTGCAAATGTGCATCAGCAACAACTCTTTTCATGAGTTGGCATTGAAACCCAGTCTAGTATTTCCATGGGATTTGGAAGATACCTCAACAATGATATTAGGAAATAAACTATTTACTTCATTGAACACTTACAACAATACATACTCCCACTGGCATTTGAAGGAAATGCACTACCAGTGATCAGTCAAGAAGAAACTCAAAATATTTTATCAATTTTTGCACATTATTTTCACATGATATCTGCCGTTCATACTACGATTTTATATTGATGAATTAGGTGACCAAGTTTAATAATGGTTGGAATAGAATTTGTAGTTATTGTGCACACATTAACATTTTCCCCTTATTTTACCTTTCCTTTCACTTCCATCTTTGATGATACAGGGAAGGTAAAAATAAAGTATTTTACAATAGTCGACTAGTTTGCTCACTTGATCCAACTGAAGAGCAAAACACCCCCCCCCCCCCCATTTTTAAATTTAACCACGCAACATCTTTGCTTAAAACAAATGATTTCTGAACAGACTAGCTGTGTGGATGCATGTTAGTAAACAAGCCAAGACATCAAATTTATCAGGCTTGATATACAAATGCCATTGTATAAAGAAAAATTTACTTTTGTATTTTAATGTAACAGCTCACTCGTGGTGGGGCTGCAGAAATGTCACCTAAAACTTAAGAATTTTGGTACAACTTTGCCCGTCAACAGCACTTGGCATAGAGCACCTCAATCGTGCGAGAACCTCTGCCCAAAACAGTTCATTAACAATAGTGGCCTGTTAGTATCAAGAGGCAAGATAAATTAACACCAGACAGTTTCACAATAAATGTTGTTTATTTCTTGTTCTTTACATTCTTACAAACTCAATTTATGTGTGTCCATATCCCTCAATAATCTGCTGATATGGAGCAAGTTTATCTGCCACAGCTTCAGATGCTTTTTTCCAGAGTCTCTGCAAAAATAATATAATTATACTTTGTTATTCAAGCATGAAAGATGCAATAGATAATCCAGTGAAAATGTAATTTACTGTACAATATAACCAAATACACTTTCTTCAGTGGTTTTTAAACTTTTACTTCTGAATTGATTCAAGTCCTTACAAGTATAGAAATGGGAGCAATGACAAAAGTTCACACTACTACAGGTTGTCCCATTAAATGTTTTCAATCTTCTCAAAGAGACAAGCCATAGTAGTATTTACTACTATGTATAGAAATAATAGCCAAGATCTATTTTTAAAAGATACTAAGAAACTGAATAAATGTACAATTGTCTGCAGGGTTAATTTCCAATGTGTAGCCACATGATTTGTTGACAAATTTCAATCAAAACATGCTCACTTGTTGAAATATAGCCAGACAAGTGAATTTTGTTACCAATCTAAATACAGGCGCCAGGCTATTCAAATTCAGTGACACATTGCTGTCTCAGATGGTGATGCATGTAAAGTTGTTTCATTTGATTACATCAAATAATTGGGTGGTTTGTATCATCACAGACAGCACAATGGGAAGTCACAAAATTGTTGTACATCATTCACTATTGTCACAATCGTCAAAAATGTAGCAATTACTCTATCAGATCACCATAGTTATTGTACACTTATACGAGGACCAAAACAATACAGCTTTGACATAACAGCAATGCAACCACAGCTCACCTTTTCTTGTTTTCTCTTATTATATCTAATCTTTGATCTTGCTTTTCTTTTAGCTTCTAACACATTAATGACACCGGCATACTTCCAGCCAACATCTGATGACAAACGTCCCAGCTGACAAAACTAAATGGCAAAACAAATGTGTATGGCATTAATCGACAATGGCCAAAAATTTCTTTATGTTAATGAGGGTTTACATTTCTGTCTCAGAAAGCATACTTGCTTCATTGTTTGTAAAACTCGTTCCGCTGAATTTTTTCACATCATTGACAGAAAATATTTTCATAATGCATCATTGAATGCACTTTGGCTCAAAGCAAATATTGATATGTTGCAGATGTTATTTTCAAATTATAGCACAGCTTGCTTTGAGGGAAGGGGACAACAAGGGTTACACAATTCATATGCAAGAATACATTGAATAATACCAATATTTGTTTCGGAGTTTGTATCATGGTTTCAATTTCAGAATCTGGTGAGCAACCATTTCAAGTCCTTTACCAATGGTGAACAAAACAGATTCTCTGATGGAACAAATTCTGAATCTGGTGAGCAACCATTTCAAGTCGTTTACCAATGGTGAACAAAACAGATTCTCTGATGAATCAACAAATTCTGAATCTGGTGAGCAACCATTTCAAGTCCTTCACCAATGGTGAACAAAACAGATTCTCTGTTGGATCAACAAATTCAAGATTAGAGATATACATTACCTTTCTGTATGGCTTCAATCTAAGAACCTTCAAAGCTGAGGGAACTACAAAACGTTTTTGCTGCAAAATTAAGAAATCTTCATTCAGTATCAAACTTTAATTCATCTGGCCTTTACAAAGTTAACACAAAGTGTCACTTATTACAAGTACTTAATTTCATGCTTTCAAAATTGCTGTCTCAGATGGTGATGCATGTAAAGTTGTTTCATTTGATTAAATCAAATAATTGGGTGGTTTGTATCATCACTGACAGCATACAAATTTTAAAATTACAGTTGCACTCCTAGAGCTTTAATTGGCGTCTCGAGAATAAATGAATATGCACTAACTGGAGTAAATATTTGATAATTACTTCAAGTTCTGAAATATTATGACCGACAGTAATTTGTGGTGAATCTTGTAAATCCACACAATAGTACTGTATTTATCCGGGTTTAAGCCCAGGGTCTTGAACATGGAAAATTGCCAAAAAGAAGGGGTGGGCGTTTGCCAGGAGATCCCCGGCAAAAAAAACAAAAATTCGCGAAAATTGGCAACACACAGTTCGATCGAACTGCAGCAGGGAATAGAATGGCAAATAAAAACGTGCAACGGAAATAAATGAACAATATGCAACACTAGAAGTAGAACAAAAATAATGTATCGCTTATAATGTGACAAAAAACCAGAAATAATAAAAATCGACAGCGAGGAATCATTTGAATTAGGATTTTCCCGCCGACAAACGCGCGTGAACTCAAAATTAATTAAAATGTCAGGGGTTAAACTGGGTAAAATGATTTCCGGTCTCGACAAATTACGAATCAACCGTCATACAAGATCAATAATAATTTACATAGTAAAAATTATATTAGCTGTTTGAAAAAACTTCTCAGATCTTTATTTGTACGTTCATTGCCATCTTCGTCAAACTCAAAACCCTCAAATGTCCAAGTCAGCGTCACTGTAGCCGTCGAACAAAATCCCTACAACTTGTTCCTGAAGTTCGTCGATATCGTCCCCCACAATTTGAACCTAGCATTTTTAATCCACGGATTTCGCAGTCTGTCAGCTTTGCACTTTTCATTCATGTCCAATCATAATAAAGAGACAAGAAAAATGAGGTCGCTCTGTTGCAATGGCACACGATGCTTTTGTTTACAGTCTAGCAATCGTCTTTGACCTTTATGCATCTGCTTTACTGATTGGCTAATAATGACATCACTACTCGTATTTCATCATAAAGGTCAAATCGTGACATTGCTTTTTTATCAGACTCGACGCTTATTAATCATGGTGAAAGTTATCATTCAGCAAGTTCCGGCGGTTGGAATGTCTTACTATATGGATATCGCGGTGGACTTGAAATAGGAAGTTTTTTTTTATCCAACGACAGAAGAATGTTTTCATGACAGTGATCAAAGATGGTAACAAAGTTGGCAGTCTTCGGCGTGACATTGCACAATTGCTGACCCCAGTTATAGATTCGCAAGCTGCTACAAAATATTTTATAAAGCCAAAGTAACGTGATTTCAACCACTCTCCCAGGTACGGGTTGCTACAATATTGCAACATTGGTTTCATTGTCGACGGCGCTAAAGCCGATCGAGTGCGACACTTGCGGCTCTCCTTTTACGATTTGCCTGAATCGTGTTTTACGCAATTAACATTTTTTAAAAGTATCACGACAGTCTTCAAGAAAGTAAACTGTTAATACAACCACAGTCAACGAATAGAAAATAGTTTTTTTTTGTGTAGAAAAAGACCCCCTGGGCGTGTGCCCGGATATGACTTCAACTCCTTTATTGGGGGGGGGGGGGGGG